GTGTACCCTTGCTCTGCCACTATAGCAGATAACTGTTTTTGTGCGGTGTCAAAAAGTGGATGTGGGTATACCCCTTTATTCCCCATTAAACCATCCTTTCTCAGTAATGTTTTCAGGAGAACTGCAGTAACCGGCAAATGAAAACTTAATTATTTTCATGTGTAGACATGGACAGTCCAATCCGACATTTTACATGAGGAAAGGGTCTCAAGAGTTTGTAATGAGAAAGAAGCCTCCTGGCAAGTTACTCAGACATGCACACCAGGTGATGTCAAATATATTTCAATTTTATTCCAGAGCTTTGAAATAACGGTCGGATATCACACATTTTCTGACCAAATTACAGTTTGTCCAACCAAATCAGAGCTATGAAATAAAATGTATGACTAAATTTAAATATTTTCATTCACTTTGGTTGGACATTTTTTCTAATGTAAACATTGCCCAAATTTTGAATGTTTTGAATTTTTCTGAACATAAACTCTATTTCATATTCATTTAGAAGCATAGCGAACCAAAATGGTGTTAGATATATATTCAGACAGCACATCATATACAAAATACAGCAGTTCAAAATGTAAACAAACCGTTTGTTTACATACGGACTTGACTTCCACTTTAAGCTCAGATGAGAACTTTGTGTCATCTGATGCATGGTAAAGAGAGATAGAGTTGCTTTGAACAACTCAAGCGTGGAAAAAAGTCAGTTTGTTAAAAAAAATTGCATCTTTACCTGCATTGCACCCTAGTGTTGCTTTACTTTTTTATTTTACTCTGTGTAATGCCAGATAATTTTGCTCATCAAAGTGACCCAGTGATAAAGCACTCTCTTTTCCTCATTTTATTCTCTCTAAGTCCTGAGGATTTCACTTATCAACTGAAGATCAAATATTAATGGTTAATTGATGTATATACTTCAATATCTATCTTACAAATAGGTTGAAAGAGAATTTGACTTTACAGAAGCATTGCACAAAGTGGGTTTTCCTGTTGCAACACCCTTACATTTATGTCAAGATGTTTCAGTTGTTGGTACTGAGTTCTACATCATGGAACATGTCCAGGTCTAATAAATATTTAGAATTAATTAGGTTCTAATTATGAGGCTTTTACAGTTGTCACTCCTTTGATATTATAATTAGGTACAGCATATCTGATCATGCAGCATGTCATAGGTGGTAGAAGATTGGTCATGGTTTGGAGGGTGGGGGCTAGAGGTGTGTGTCGGATCGGATTGACCTCTCTCAATCCGATGGTTTGTCTAAGTTCTCAATCCGAATCCGATCCGATCCGAAGATGAAAAAAGTAATCCGATCCGATCCGATCCGAAACAATGTTTATAAAATCCGATCCGATCCGATGCTAAAATTCGTAATCCGATCCGATCCGAACTTAAGTTGTGTACGCTGTACAGCGTGCGTTAATTATTATGAACGTATTTTTTCATGATCATAAACGATATATTGGAAATAATGAATTTCTAGCAAAAATAAGCAGATACGAATCCGATAAAAATTGCAGGGCGATATCACATAATTATGCCTTATAGCGTTCACATTTACAGTACACAGTAACAGCAGTTTATATTTTATTAGAATTAGCATAGAAAAAAAACCCAACTGGTCAAAAATGTTTTATTCAGTATAATAAATCATGAGCTTGAGCTAGGTTTACATTTTAAAACATCTTAAAGTTTATCACTAATAAACCTCATTGTCAGGCTTCATGATACATAAACCTAACAAACCAAACAAAAAAACACAACATTCCTAAATTTCCTATATATCCAATTCCCGTACGTAACTGAGAAATATACGTCCAAAATCCAAATAACTCAAAACTCTTTTTAGAAATATATGTCACAAGAACTCAAAACACTTTTATACCAGGTGTTCAAAAAAAAAACTGGACACTGTTTGATTTCATACAACGTAAAATCATACGTAAAATCATACGCATTTTCATAATTTACAATTTCACAATTTCAATAACGTAAAATCATACGCAATATCATATCAAACAGTGTCCAGTTTTTTTTGGGACACCCGGTACTTTATTGTCAGCACTCGGCATAATATAGTAGCTATTACTCCGCTGAGTCCGCTTCGACCAAATCGGTCTGCTCATTTGGCTCCAAAGCCTTCCAGGCACTTCCTGCCATATAGCTTTGGATGCACAGCAAGGCGTTTAGATTACGTGGAGCTAGACGCGTACGCCTAAGGTTGATTGTCCACCCCGCTTGCGAGAAACTTCTCTCTGATGGAGCGCTGCTAGCTGGGCAAGCCAAAATAAGCCTGGCAACCAGTGCTAATTTCGGGTAGACCCTGGCATGATCCCTCCAGAACTTCAGAATATCAAGGTGCTTGTTTTTATCCTCGTACAGGTCAAGGTCGAAGTCGTTTCCAGTAAACCTTCGAAATTCGTCGACAATCGATGATACCTTTTGCTTTTCCTTATAAAAGGCAAACTCGGGTTCTTCGATCTCATCACAAGGATTCTTCTTCCTTTTCGGAGTGGGGGACTTAATTTCTGAGACCTTATGTAATAACAATAAGAAAACAATATAAATTTGTAACGTTATTCCAAAAATGCAACAAAACATATCGATAATATTTACAGAATAACAATATTAAAATCTTGAAATCCAGCGGTAATTTGTGTTTAGTTACCTCTTCTGAGTCTTCTCCGTCAGACAAAAGCGAATGGTCGTTATCATCACGAGTTTCGTCGCCATCTACACCTGTGATACGATCGTGAACATTCTCGATCTTTTCACAAATCTTCCGCCGGCTGTCTTCATCTGTAGGTTCGCCCACTCTTGGGTCCAGCGCGGAAGCTACATCGTGGTACACGTTAAGTCGACTGCTTAGTTTTGTCAACAGAGCTTTCCTCCCAACTTCTTTCATCTTTCTTATTGCCGTCATGTCCTGTTCGTGAGCTGAAAAAGCGGCCTGAAGTTTTGCTTCCCAGTAACGTGCCCTATGCAATGTTGGTTCCTTATCTTTCTCGAGCTCCAGGCCACAATCATGCAGGGGCTTTAAAACACGCGAAGTCTGTATCAGAAGAATTTTGTTTATATCTTCTAAATATTTGAGCTCATTTCTGGCATCAAGAATGTTTTCAAGTTCTTCCCAGCGGTTGATGATAGACCCAATCATTTCACGGTAGGTATAAAATCGAGTTGCTATGGTTTGTTTAAGGGTCGTCGTTAACTTACTTTGCAAGTCTGTCCGTTTTACATGCTCCACTAATTTCTTAGCTGCTTCCACATTCAACTTTACTTCGGCTGCCTTATCGGAAGTGACGCAGGCTTTAGCAACCAACGAGCTTATGTGCGAAATGCATCCAATTTGATCATCACTGTCCAGAAGGCGAAATGCTGCTGGCATGGTGTTGGTGTTATCTGTGGTGACAAGCCGAAAGGGAGCGTCAGGAACGTTTTCAAGGTAGCACTTGGAAATACTAGGTGCTCTGTGATCCTCAAGGTTGTATTCGGTTGTTGACCAAATAAAGCTGCTAAGGTTATTCCAGTCAGCGTCAATATGATGAACGGTGACAGACATGTAGCTTTTACCAGTATATTTCTCCTTCCACAAATCGGTTGTTGTGCAAAATGCATCTCCATTCAAAGACTTGAGAATATCAGCGCGAACTTCTTCATGACGTTTCGGTAGGTAATTGCGGGTTAGATTTGTCCGATCTACGATGTGTTGCGCAAGATCGAAGTTTTCTCCGTATCGTGCCCCAAACCTTGCTGCCGTTCTGAACATAATCT